AGAACCTGGCTGTGGATTTGGACACTGAAGGTGAGTGGAGCCAGCCAGTTCTCAGTCAGGTTTTCTGTGTGTTTGGTCATAGTCTGGTCCTAAAAATACTTTAAGCCACAATAGAGAGTGTTCTGTCAGTACGATTATAGGTCTGGCTGATTATTTTAATTCAATAGTATCTGCTCAATGCAGAAAACACAGAAAAGCATACGGGAGTGGGGGGACCATCCAGAATCGTTACCACATCAGTTATTATTTCAGTATATACGAGTGTTGTTGTTGTTTTTTTTTTTTTAGTGTGAAAATAAACATTCTTTTTACGAGCCTCTCTTTTAACGATAGGCTCACTTGTTTTGCTAGCCTGCTTTTTATTCCAGCATTATTGGTGCCTCTTTGCCAGGCAGTATGTTACATATTCCATGTGTAAAGAAAGATTAATGAATAGGACTCCCCCTACCTGCTTTGCAAAATGTTCACATTATAATTTCTGGTGTAGGTTGTATCTCCCTTGCTTGAATGACATCTTTTGGTGTTCTGTATTGATTGTAATAGAGACCCAAGTAGGTGGTGACCAACTATACAGTCCTGCTTGTCTTGGCTTTTTAACTTCGCTATGGATCCGTGAGAGGCTAATTTTAAGTATATACTACTTGCATATTTGTCCAGGGAGGTGGGGGGGCGGTAGTCTGAGACAGGTTAAAAATCAAGATTTAACATAGGTGAATACCACTGCATCCAGAGCCCAACGGCAAAAAAAGAGGGTAGTCTCCAAGGCAGTGTTGAAGCTCATTGTAATACCAAGCAGACACAGACAACCAAATCCAGTTAAGATGATGCTAGTTTCAGAGTAGAGACTGGGAACCCTTGGTGGGTTATCCCCAAGGTAAGCCCCTTACAGAGGGACTGTGAGGTCAAAACTATTTTCATAATGAAACATTTGCTTTTTTTCACTCATTTTGTTACTAGTGTACAGTGAAGGTTTCCAGAGGCTACATGAATGAAATACCATACTGGGACAGACTGAACAAAAGGGCAGAAATGAGAATCCAGCAGAATGTAAAACATTGACACTCTATGTAATAATAAAAGGTTTTTGGGGGGACATACTTAAATTTTTTATTTACATGTTAATATGCCATAGTTCTCAACTAAAAAAATTTTACTGTGGAAAATAGTGAAGTAAAACCCACAGAAATGAAAACTCTTTGGGGGTCCAAGTCCCACTGTTTGAAACCAAAGGATAACATGAGAGCCTTTATCAGAAATCCAAACCCTAGCCAGTCAGAATGATTCAGGCTTTGAAGAACAAACCCTTGCTAAGCTGTCTTAATTTCTAGGCCGGTATCTCTTCTTGAATGCAATTGCAAACCAGCTGCGGTACCCGAATAGCCACACTCACTACTTCAGCTGCACCATGCTGTACCTTTTTGCAGAGGCCAACACTGAAGCCATTCAAGAACAGATCACAAGGTAAGACAGAAGTCTGTCTTTCGGAGTTTCTAAATGGAACCTCTTCCCTTTTATTATGAATTCTTGAGTGTTTTTCCTATGCATTCCATGTTCACTGAGTATCAGTGTTAAATGCATGCGTGCTTAGGCGTGTCTCATTCTTTGAGACCCTATGGACTGTAGCCCACCTGGCTTCTTTGTCCAGACAAGAATACTGGACAGTACTTTGTATTCTCCAGACAAGAATACTGGAATGGATAGCCTTTCCTTCTCCAGGAGATCTTCCCAAACCAAGAATGGAACCCACATCTCCTGCATCTGCATAGGCAGGCAGATTCTTTACTGTTGAACCACCTGGGAAGCCCATGTGTTAAATAGTTGTGAAAAAAAGGACTTGGTTCCTGCCCTCCTGAAAGTTAGTCTGATGGGCACCAAAAAAAAAAAAACCCCACCACACACACACAATTACTAATCATTGTTGAAACCAAAAAGTAGTTTTCAACACAAGGTGCCAGTATTTTTATAGATAAGGGATTTTTCTCAAGTGGTGGTGTCAGCATATTTAACCTGAGTCCTGAAGCATCAGGCCTTTCAAAGGTCATGTTAAAGAGCTTAAGCTTGTCTTCATTACCTGTAGGTTTTAAGGTTTTAAGCAGGAGAAATAAAAGGATCATACTTGTGTTTTACTAACAATAGTTAGGAATCTATTGCAGATTGCTTGGACTATATACAGCATTTGCAGATTAGGAAATGGGTACATCCTAGTGAGAAATATACAGGCAAACTTAAAGAACTGGACCAGACTTCTTAAACTTGCCCCTTCACCTATTATTAGTTTCTAGGTATTAATATTCCTTAGTTTTATATACTAAAAATTAATTAGTACTTTATTATTAGATGTTCAGATGATAAAAGTCCTTTTTGTGATCACATAAAAAGCCGCCAGTGAGCATCCTGGTACTCATGTCTTTGTTCCTGTGCTTTTACATCTTTAGGGTAAATTTAGAAGTGCAGTTGGTTAGGTCAAAGGATGTGAATATTTAAGCCAATACTGACTGCCATTCAGAAGAATCATCCCACCCAGTTTACATGTGTACTAGTAGTAGTAAAATTCCTAGTTCCTATTTGAGTATGTATTCTTTTAAGTGATTACCTTCTCTGTGCCATGTAATCTATTGTCCATTACCTTAGTTTTCTAGGCTCAGTAGTGGGAAGAGGTGGGGTTCAAACCTACTTTATGTAATTCTAGGATCTATTTATGCTAACTATTCTGTATATCCACGTTCCTTTTCTAAAGCTAATGGAGAAGTGGTCATGATCTGGTGTTTTCCTGTGCATTGAGCAACTTTTTCTTCATTCTCCAGGGTTCTTTTGGAACGGTTGATTGTAAATAGGCCACATCCTTGGGGTCTTCTTATTACCTTCATTGAGCTGATTAAAAACCCAGCATTTAAATTCTGGAACCATGAATTTGTACACTGTGCCCCAGAAATTGAAAAGTGAGTCAAAAGTAATTCATTATTTCATTCTTAAGACAGGAGAAATAATCATTTGATGGCTTCAGCTTGGGTGGGTGATTAAGAAGGGAGTAGTAGCCAAAATTAGTAAGACACAAGGCCTGAATTTTTCTCACCACCTTATTACTTGTCTTCCTTCTTCAGGTTATTCCAGTCCGTCGCACAGTGCTGCATGGGACAAAAGCAGGCTCAGCAAGTAATGGAAGGGACAGGTGCCAGTTAGATGGAACCACATCTCTGTTGTAAATGTGTCTGCCTGGAGGTCCCACTGTACCAAGTTCATAAACTGGCTGAAGATCCTTTCAGCTCTTCCTGACTTTCCCGGCCCTTTGGTTCTTGGGTATCTGCCCCAGTTACTGTTTGGGTCAGCTACCTGTCTATGTGGACACGTTCCAAAGTTTAAATGCATTTTTTTGACTCTTGGCCAAAATTTAGAAGATGCTGTGAATATCATTTTGAACTTGTGTAAATATATGAAAGAGAAAACCTTTGTCTGAAACTTCTTGGGTTTGTGCAAAATGTGTTCAAGACAAGTAGGTAAACTGGTGCCTGCCCAGTTTATAACGGAAGGAGCTGCTGCCGCCAGGTACTTGTCTGGGGGCGGCGCATAGCGACATGTCTTCTGACATCACAGGTGTCCCAAAGAATAGCAAGAAAGCCAGTTTAAATATTGTGTAACTTATTATTTTTTAAAATATGGACAGGGACCTTGAAAATCACCAAGTTTTTTTTAAAAATGTGGATGTGTAGAATCTGGTATGCCAGGAACATGTGCAGAGTTCACACTTGAGATCCCATGGGTTTTTTATTTTACCTCTTCCCCACATCTTCAGTTTGCTGCTGGGAGAGTATCATTTTCTCTTTCCTGCTGGAGAACACACCCTCTTGGGCTCTGGGAGACACTTTTTATAAAGGGAAGCCAAGTCTGGTCTAGAGCTCCCCCATCTCTCATTACAGTAACTTGTAAATTGTGCAGAATGGAGCCAAATAGTATGAACTGCCCTTCCCCATTATCCCAATGAATGGCCATACAGGCTTGAGTTCAACAAAGAAGTCCAGAGGACCAATACAGCCCCTTTTGTAAGGATTTTGAATGTTCTGTAAGTGTATTGGTCCATGTGGTGTATTTTGTAGCCTTCCTAGTTCCTGGACTTTCGTCTCCCTACTTGTCGTGTGTGTATGCATACTGTCGTTAAGCATTAAAGTTCTGACGCACGAGTCCACCGTGCCTTTCTCAGTAGCAGCTAGTGCTGGTGGTGAGGAGCAAAGTGGACCGCCCAGCCTTCCCACTGGGGAACACCAGCTTTTGCTGAATGCTAGGTTTTTCCACTACCAAAGCAGCATCTTTAAATAAGGAAGTGATTTCTGTGTAGTGTTTTCCTCTTCCTTTCTAAAAGTTAATTGCACCAGGTTTCTGTGGTTAAATTCAAAATGCCAGTTTAAAAAAATTGACCCTCATGGCGTTTTGATATAATTTTTAAAAGAAAAGGAATAGGACTAGGTACATATTTTATATTTATCCCACTTGAATATACAAGATAAATAGAAATCTTACATGGGGGCTTGTATGTCACTGGTATCTTAGGCTGCTAAGGAATTAAAATAATTGCCCAGAGTCCCAGTAACATAGCTTACTAAATCCTCCAACAGTTTTTTTTAAAAAAGGGAAAGTGGTTGCTCAAAATAGACCTACCTAGATTCGAACCAGGTCTACTTTCAAACTCCATGTTCTTAAATGCTAGACTACAACAAAGTGGATCACTATCACATTTCTGCTTTGGTTCAAACTTGATAACAAAACAGCTATGAAATTGATCAGCATTTGTAACAGCAGCAGTTCACAAGTCTACTGCTCCCAGTCCTCAGCACGTCACTCTTACCTTGGAGTTCATCCTAGTTTAACAATTTCACTACTTTCCCTTTTGGTATTAGTACAAAACACAAAGCAGAAAATCCAAATTTTACTTCTTTCCAAGCATCAGTGCATACCAGCTTCGCATGAAGCTCCTCTTCGGGATACTCCTGCAGGCAGAAGGAAGCCTGCTAACATGTCAGCTCCAACAGCCGGTGTAGAATCATCTTCTGACCGTAACGCACCTGTAAGGCTTGCTGTTCCCTCCAGCTAAGTGCCGCATAGACCTCCTTGTTGCTGAGTAACTCTTGCTCAGTTTTTAAGTCTGTGGCATAGGTTTGCAGGGTCAACAAAACACTGTCCCGAAGAAGCTGTCTCCATGATGCTTTGAGTTTGGGGATATCTGTGATTGTCAGGCTGTCATCTTCACTTTTATCATCTTCCCATCCATTCTGGTCTTTAAATTCTCTGAACTCCTCAGCAGGCATGCACAGTACCTAGAAGCAACCATGGGGCCCTTTAAAGTAGGATGTAATACTTGAATGTTTCTGAAACTGAGAGAAGCTGGCCTATCCTGGCAGCATGTAAGCGTACTCTGTCCAGGCCACCTTTCATCTAGCTCTAAATACTCATTTTGAGCATTTACCTTGAGTGTAGCGGCCAGTTCCTCTTCAGTCAGTACCTCTTCACGCCCAATCACAAAGGCTCCCTCTTCCCCTACCATCTCCAATTTGCATAAGAAATCCCAGCGTTCATACAGTAGGAGCCTTTCAGCTTCAACTTTTGTTCCTATAGATAGAAAAGTACCGGTGTGAAAGTCCTGGTAAACCCAAAACCTCATTTCTCCTTAGTCCACAAAAAGGGGGCAGGGATAGACACGCATACACAGGTGTCTGAGTTAAACCACTCACCCTGTAACGCAGCTTCACGAACAGTCACCATCTGAATGTCAGCTGTGTCATTCATGTTGTTGGGATACGGTTCAGCAAAACCATACATATGAATCAGCTGCCAGTTAGCCATTTGCCCATAAGTGTTGAAGATCTCATGGCCTTTAGGAATGGGCTGAATGGCCACCATCCGAAGACAAGTCTGGGGTGGAAGGGTTCAGAAGCTGGGGGTCAAGCCCTTTCCAGGCCACCCCTAAGAAGATGGCTTCGCTCCTAGGAAAGCAAAGTTCCCTCCAACAAGTCTAGTTCAGTGATGAGACTGATGCTGTATCTACCAACATTCTACTTTTAGTTAAGATCCTGTGCTACAGAATAAAACAAATGAGGCTTATAAAAGTTGAAACTCAGCCCAATGCTTTAGTAGGTGAAACCTCTGCTCAGTCATCTCAAGCACTTCAAAAAGTTGCTAGCTTTAAAAAATGAATTACGGAGGACTTCCTGGTGGTCTTAGTGGTTAAGACTCCAAGCTTCCACTGCAGTGAGGTATGGGTTCCATCCTTGCTTGGGGAACTAAGATCCTATGTGCTGCACAGTGCAGCAAAAAAAAAAAACCCCAGATCAAAGGAAATTCACTGGTGGTTCAGAGGTTAGGACTCAATCCCTGGTTGGGTAACTAAGGTATGTGCAGCTCCGCAAATAAAACCAACAAAAAAATCACAACCCAGATCAAAGTAGGAACAGCAAATGGAGACAAGGTTTTAAAAATAACGGCCATTTCCTAATTTTTAACTCCATAAACTTACATCTTTTCTTGCAATTTTCCACTTAGCAAATAGATACAAACACAGTCCTGGTATCATCTTAAACCCTTTCTTAGGAACATCCCCTCTTCTGAAAAGTACTGACGCTATGGCTGTTCCAGATTGTTGTCCACAGGGCCCTAACACAATCTCAGCTCATTGACACTGCACAGAACCGACCTAAAGCACCAAAACAACGATGGCACAGGTTTAGCAGAGGATTAATCCCAACTTTCTTTGAGGGCTTTGTGTTCAAAGTACTTCACTGTAATATGCAAACAAAGTACATGGCGGAGGAACTAATTTCACCTATTCATTTCTAGTATGAGGAGAACGGAGCCCATTTGGCTCAATTGCCAGGCCAGCATAAAGAACACATTGGTTTGATTCAAATGCCCAAGCATCAAGGCACATAAACAAGAACTGGGAGGGATCCACTCACTGGAGAGTATTCTAGATTGGCATTGTGATTGGCTAAATGGTTTAGTATGTCTGCAGCAGGCACCATCAAAGGGGAGTTTGGCTCCTTTTCATCCTCCTCTTCCTCCAGTGGTTCCTGAAAGCTGCCACAGAGAGAACTTGGCTAAAGCCCAGTGTTGGGGTGGGGCTCACTGTTCTTTCCCTTCTGATCACTCAACAGAGTTCTAAAAAAAAAAAAAAAGAGTCCTTTGCAAGGCTCCGCTCACTGACCTGTAGGCCATCACAAGAGCCACGAGCTGGCGGTAGAGTTCCAGAGATCGGACCCTGGGGCTGAAAAGATCGGGGTGGGCGTCCATGAAGGGCAGCACAATGGAATAATACTCGCTGCGGATGTTGGCCAAATCCTTCTCCACGGCCTCGGGTACGCCTGTGCCCTGCAGCAATCGCCGGCGCTCCTCCTCTGGCCTGCAGTGACACCCCCACCAGGGTTCTTCACCCAACCTACCGAGACTAGCGCTTGGCACCCGAGTCCCAAGGGCAAGCGGTTCGAGCCAGGCTACGTACGGTGTTGGCGCTCCCCAGCCCCTCCTACGGCTCTCACCAGAACATGGGGTGCTCCAAGCGGCCCAGCTCGGGCCAGAGCGCAAAGTAGGGGCTCCAGGGCGAGGCCGGGGCCTGCATCTCGTGGAGCAGCGCCAGCAGCAGCGGCACCCAGCCCGACTGGCTCTGCAGCGCGCCTCGCTCTGGGGGAGACACGGAGATTAGGGACCCCGCGGGCCCAACTCGGCGCCTCTCCACCCCTGTCGGCGTGCCCACCTCGTTCCAGCACGCCGCTGATGGAGCAGGTGTGCTGCGACAGGAGCGCGGCCCGCGGCACCGCGAACAGCAGTTCCCCGGGCTGCACGCTCTCCCGGGCCACCATGCCGTAGCCGGCCACCGTGCCCTGCCGGCTCACCGCCACCTGAGCAGAGAGAACGGCCGCTCAGAGCTGGCCCGCGCCCGCTTCCTCGCTGCACCCGCCTCCCCCAGTCCCCGTCTCACCTTGGGACTCAGCTCCAGTCCCACCCGCTGGCACCAGCTCAGGAAGCTGGCCACCGGGGCCGGGTCGTCGTCGCTGCCCGCAGGCCCGGCCACCTAAGACAGGCAAGCGCAGTGGCGCGGCCCCGCCCGGGAGAGCTCGCTGGGGGCGGAGAAGACGGCGACGCGCGCGCGGAGGAAGGTCCAGGGTTGGGGAGGGGACACGGGGAGCGGCGAAGGACCGGCGCGCCGCACAAGAGTGGCGTGGCGCGGTGGAGAGGGGTGCACCCGCGCCGCCCGCCGTGACTTACCCGCCGGCGTTTCGCCTGGGTCGCCATGGTCCGAGGGCACGGAGCCTTGCGCGTCAGTAGACCCGCACCGGCGCTTCCGGCGTCCGGGGGGGGGGGGGGGGCCGGACTTTCGTGGGCGGGGCCTATGTCCCCGCCCCGGACCACGTGACGTTCATTTCGCCTTCACGCGGAAGATAAGCGGGGATTTCCACTCAGCACAGAGTCGGACACAATTGAAACGACTTAGCAGCAGCAGCAGCAGTTTTTGGACTGTGGTGCCGGAGAAGACTCTTTAGAGTCCCCTGGACTGCAAGGAGATCCAACCAGTCCATCCTAGGAAATCATTCCTAAATATTCATTGGAAGGACGGATGCTGAAGCTGAAACTCCAATACTTTGGCCACCTGATGTGAAGAACTGACTCATTGGGAAAGACCCTGGTGCTAGGAAAGATTGAAGGCGGGAGGAGAAGGGGACGAGAGAGGATGAGATGGTTGGATACCATCACCCACTCAATGGACATGGGTTTGAGTAAGCTCCGGGAGTTGGCTATGGACAGGGAGGCCTGGCGTGCTGCAGTCCATGGGGTCGCAAAGAGACGGACACGACTGGGCGACTGAACTGAACTGAACTGAACTGATATCATCCCCGCTGAAAACATCTTTGAGGCCAAGTGTCCGCATCTGGGTTTAGAAAACGTGCGGTTGGGTGCATGAAGGCGTGTCCTCTTGCCGCCTTGAGCTCGGTCTGAGCCAGGCACAAAGCTTCCCTGCTTAGGTCTGTGACAGCAGAGGTAGAAGAAAGGGCAAAATCTGGTTCTGGATGCGAAGGGAAGGCCTCGCGAGAGGTCGACTGGGAGCGCGAATAGAGCGGTTTGCGCACTGTTTCGTGGGGAGTGGGCGGGGCTCCCCAAACCAGAACAGACCCTCTCTTGCTTCTGCAGGGCAGAAGGAGGGGTTTGCTTTTATTTACTTCTTTAGTAGCTGACAAACAGCAGGGTAGTGAATGGATCAGAAATGCTGGTTAAACACGGGGAAATAGCATGTCGTTAAATTTAAGAAATTAAAGGCAGCGAACATAGAGATTACAGATCTGGTTTTGAAGTCAATTACTGCCAAGGTCAGCTCCCACTTTGGTCTCTTATTAGGGCAAATTAAGTTTTCTCAGCTGTGAAACTAGGATAATTAATATCTACCTTGTGGAATGTGACAAGATCTGGAAATACAGAGACAGATGGAAATGCCTGTCTACACTCTACACTTGGAACCCCACCTAAAACCCAGGAAGCACCAGCCTCACCATCTTATTCTTTCTCTTTCAAAGCTTCTCACGATGGGCGTAATATCACCATACTCAAATTCTTCTTAATACTTTATTAGTTTTTCAGCACAGTTAACTCTTTCTACGTTGACAAGGGGTTTTGTTTTACATTTTGTCATCTCAAGAGTCTCAGGACATCAGCCACCAGAATACAGAAGAGTAGGCTCTTCACTTTGTACAGAGAGGAAAATAATAAATTCCATTAAAAGTTCACTTTGACCAAAGAAGACACAACCTCCGATGGAAAGCCACACGTGGGGGTACCCAATATACATATATATAATGTATAGATATTTATAGATATCTCATCTGAAAGAACACAGAAAAGAAATCCAAGTTTCACAGCGCTATCTACAGTAAGGGATTAATTCCACCAGCATTTCAAACAGTCACATTCGATATTCAGAGGAAGCACGTGAGTGAACAGAACTGGGGACAGACTAACACTCCACGGGCTCTAGAGCAGTCTAGAGTAATGGCTTAAGAGTATAGAAGGGGGTGATGTGTGCAGAGGAAATGTGGATGCAGGTGTCTCCTCAGCCCCACAAGCACCCACCCCCTCCACAGTCCTGCATTTTTCATTGCTCTCTCCTCTTCTCTTTGCTCATTTGGGGGCTTATGGCAATTGATTCAGGCTTAGAGACAAATGGCTTCTGGTTTCTGGGCCAGGAGATTCTACCTGGTAAGGTGGGTGGATAAGAAGTATATGGCACAGTGCTGGGCTTCGGGTGACAGGAAGTGGCTGGGGTGTGGTGGAGAGCCTTGCTCTTCTGCCTGGCCCTTGTTCACTTCAGGAACCGTCACCTCCCACCCCGGGCGCCAGCAAGCCCCAGCCTAGGCCTCCTCCACCTGGCTAGGACGGTGATGTGGGACTACCTTGGACCAGGTTTCTCCACATGAACTTGCTCAGTGGTGCCTACGTGAAACACTGGCATAGCCTGACTAGAACTCTCTCTAGAAACATTTCTAGTGACCTTGGCTACGCTGCTGCTGAGTTGTCCTCCAAGGAACCTGGGGGCAAAAAGGGGGGTCTCTGAGCCGCCACTGTGCAGGCTTCCAAAAGCAGTCACCACGAAGTTCTCAGAAGTGCACCCAACACGCAAAGGCTATCCCAGCCTTCAACCTCAGCCCCAGTCAGCTCCCTACGGAGGCAGAGGACCAGGTGAGGTTCTGCCTCAGGGCCTTGCCTCAGCAACCGGCCAGGGCCAGGAGGTGGCCGAGTGTGGGGCTGGAAGGGACAGTCTATGGGGTTCCTGCCCTCAGGTCCTCCGTGTTCTGTCTCCGCGTTCAAAGCAGCCCCCTTCAGCCCCTGCCTGCCTGGCCCTAGGCCACCAGGCCTGCCGGGGGGGCACCCGCAAAACTGCTGCCTGGCAGTGGCGCCCCCTTGTGGCTGCTGTTCGGACGATTGTCATGGGTGCTAAGAAGAGAAAACAGACGCGCTCGGTGTTGGGGCTGCAGGGGAAAGGAGCTGTCTCCTGGTTCTCACGCCAATGCTCGAGCTGGACCCCGTGTTCCTGCTGGCCCAGCACCCACCACCTCAAAATCCCCTCCCCATCTTAAAACCTGCCTGGCCCAGGGGGTCAACCCATGCTTTCTTTGACCCAGGATATTATCCTGGATCCTGGTCAGAGGAGGACTCTCAGTCTTTCCTGAGCTAATCCCCTTCCCTCCCTGGAAAGGTGCCCTCACTGTGCCGGGGCCTTGGGGAGTCGGAAGAGAGGGACTGAGTCAGCCAAGTTAACGAGATGCGTGAGGGGAATGGGGTGGGGAGGAGAGAGCCCCTCAAACCATCTGGAGACTGTTCCGCTGCAGCATCTAGACGGATCCCCTCTTCTTTTTAAACAAAAGAGAAGTAACCCCATTTCCTCCCCCTTTGCCCTCACAAAAATAAACTAAAGGGGAAATGAGCCGCGAGAGGGTGGCCGTGGGACGTCGATGCGGGTGGAGGGGGACGAGTGGGCGTCTTCGCGGGACCCGGGGCTTCAACAGGACACCTCCATGGTGTGGTTGACCTGGCCCAGCCCCTCGCTGCTCTCCGAGTGGGTGCAGGCCTGCGGGCGGCCGCCGTCCACCGAGCTGGCGCTGGTGAGGGACGCGGTGCGCGAGCGGGCGAGACGAGTCATGCTGGCCGAGGGCACTGCGGACAGAGAGGGCACCGCGGGTGAGGACCGGCCGGCGGGGCGGGCGCGGGCACGTGGGAGACGGGAGAAGGATTTACGCAAGCAAAGCGGCCAGCGAGACCCGTTCTTCCGACGGAGGCACGGAGGCCCACCCGCAGCCAGGGCTCTGCGGTCATGCAACGCCAGCGACAGGGAGTGCGCCCCAGGGGCGGGGCCACGGGGGCCGGCAGGACCCTCCTCGCAAGAGCCCCAGCGGGGCAGCAGCTGATGATCAACCACGTGTCCTTGAGCCCGGGAAAGGGTGGGACGTTCTTTCTAATTCTGCCTCCCTCAAGAGGACAATGGGGCCGGGCGGGGGGAGATCAGCTCTGTAAAGAAGGGCAAGGTGTGGTAGCCTCAGACAGCCCTGAGTCCATTATTCAGAGTTACACAAGCGAGATAAACTCGCAGGGAGCAAATGCTTCCTTCCTGACCTCCGCCGGCCACCTGTCCAGCTCAGGCGTGGCTTGCCCCTGATTCCAGGGCTGACACCTCTGAGAGGTTCTGGCTCCAACTGCCAGGGCTCTGGAAGCCATGGGGCTCCGGGGAACCTAGAAGCACGACTGGTCCAAAGCCCGGCCACTCCGCAGCCCTAAATGGGACAGGGCCCATAGAAAAGCGGTACAAGAAGTTTCCACGGCAAGATGCGGCTTGGCTGCAGCGCTGCATAGAGGGAGGAGCAGGGGGGCCCGGGGCGATGGCAGCGGGCGGGGGGATCCATGCATCAGGGGAAGGGCTCCGGGGCTACCTGCTCCTCCACTCAGCCTTCGGTCCTTCAAGTACGCAACTAAGAGAAAAGACAGAGCCGGGGGCGGGGTGGGGGGAGACACAGAACACGGGTGAAGAGGCGGTGCAGCGCGGCCGGGCGTTGAGATGGGCCGGAGAGGAGAGGCAGGCACAGAGAGGCTGGGGGCAGGGCCGGCGCCTCAGGGAGCCCCCTCCTGCACCCCCATTACTGCAGCGGCCCCAGGAGGAGCCACTGATGTCAGTCTGCCCCGAGGAGCCCAGAGAGCAGGGTGGGGCACTCATCCGCCTCTGCTTCTCCAGCCTGGGATGCAGTCCTGGGGGCTCTGCCGACAAGGCCTATGAGGACTATAACCTGTTCCCGGCACCCTCACCGCTCCACTGGGCTCAGTATCCCCGTGGATAGAGGCCCATGCGTGCGTGCTCAGTCGTGTCCGGTTCTTTGTGATCCTGTGGACTGTAGCCCTCCAGGCTTCCCTGTCCATGGGATTCTCCAGATAAGAATACTGGAGCGAGTTGCCACATCCTCCTCCAGGGGATCTTCCCAACCCAGGGATCGAACCCAAGTCTCCTGCATTGGCAGGTGGATGTTTTTCTCCACTGAGCTGCCTGGGAAGCCCTGGATAGAGGCCTGTACAATCTCTCAAATCTTCCCAGCTCTTGAGCTGCCTGGTGGTATTCCTCCCAGGGCCCAGAAAACAGGTCCTGGCCCGACAAGTACCGCTTACCCACCCGTCCCAGCCGTGTTCTCCGGGCACCTCCGGGGCTCCGTGTCCCTGCCGGGTCTCACTGTGGGGCTTGGCCTCTCGTTGCCCCACTTGTCCCCAGGCAGGCTGGCAGGGGGCCTGGTCCCCTGGAGGTCGGGAGGAGTTCGATTCCTGGCTGGACCCCCACCCCCCACTGTTTTTCCCTATAGGCCTGTCTTCCCAAGACACAAGCTCCAGAGACTGAAGTCGAGGGGGAAGAAAACAAATTCAGGGAGAGGAAGTCTGCTTCCAGGAGGAGAGCCAGGCATAAGGGGGAGATGGGAGGAGCTCAGGGGATACGCCTGTGTCACCGGAGGTGTGCGTGGAGGAGGGGCTCAGGAGCAGGGCTCACCCCTGCACGAGGGGAAGCTGGGGGCCACAGGGAGCGGGTTCCGCCCACCCCATTGCCCCTGTGACCTCGGGGTCTTCAGGTCTGCTGCCCCCAGGCTTGGCTGCTTTCGGCTCTCCTCACACCCAGACGGCCTCACGTGCCTTCCCCAGGTCCCAGGCTCCAAGCCCGCTTCTCTGCTGCCCCTGCACCATCCAGCACCTTCCCAGCCCTTTTCTGGTGCTGGAGGCCCAGCTGGGGGCATGGTGTGGATGACACCCCTAGGCAGGCCTCCCTGGCAGGATTCAGCTCCAGGCCTGGGTCCCCTAGGGCTGGGAGAAGAGCCTCCTACCCTGACAGGCCCAGTCCTGCCATGAGGACAGTGCCCCAAAGCCTTCCCCTGCAAGGGTACAGGAGGGCAGGGCCTGGCCTGGGATCACCGACTTAACAGCCTAGGCGAAGATGCCCTAGAAGTCCCCAGGCACAGCATCCGGCCCTGGGAAAGAACGCATGCTCACAGGCCCACCTGCTGCCTGCTCCCTAGTCACCGGGGTGTGGGGGGGCGGGGAGTACACTTACTGTAGCCCATGCCTTGCAGGAAGTATTTGAAGGCTTCAGTCAGCTTCCCGGGCTGCAGGACAAGGGACAGGCACAGGGTCTGATTGGCGGCCTGGGATCCGGGGAGGGGGGAAGTTCCGCCCACTCTGGGCCAGGTAAGGGATGGAAGGAGGGCCAAGAGTCTCACCTGTGTGACCTGGGGGAGACCCCCGGAATCTGCCATCTGCAGGGCAAAGAGGGGATGAACTGAGCAGGGGCCACCTCCCACCACACCTTGCCTGTCCCCCGCAAACCTGGGCAGGTCCCCTGACCACTTGGCTGGGACCCCTCCCTGCAGCAGGGCCCATGGTGGGGAGCGGGAGGCCTCACCTTCAGGAAGGTCGTGGTGGTTGGATCCAGTTTGGAGTTGCACTCGACCTGGGGACAAGGAGCAGCTTCAGCATGGTGGCACCTGAGGGTATCAGGGGCGCCCCCTGCCCCAGGCGCTAAGGCAGCTTCTCTGCCCAGGGCTGGGGGACAGGGAGGGTGTGCAGGGGGCAGACACAGGCCAGCCAGCACCTCCCTGGGCACCTTTGGAAAGGTCAAGGCCCTGGGGATCTGGAAGCGGCTTCCTGAGGGCCTGAGACCCTCTGTTCCACTCACCACAGCTGGTGGGGTGGGGACTGGGCACAGTCCTCACTGGGGAGCCAGGGCCACCTCCACGGGAGAGGCTGGGAAAGCCAGGGGCCCCAGGAGTCAGGGGTCAAGGTGAGGGGGGGCTGAAGGTCAGCAGGAGACCCTGAAGCCTCTGAAGCTCTGACCCTGCTTGGGTTAAGACGGCAGGCACAGCCCACACCCCCGCTCCTCCGATCCTCAGGAACAAGGAGTGTGTGGTAGTCTGGGTGCACACTGGGCTGAGGGGGGCCTCCCTGGGCATTCCTGAACCCCAGCTTTCTGTGCTAAGGCAGACATGAAACCCCCAGGCTGCCTGCTGCCAGAGTCCCAACAGGAGAGGTGACACATGGTCCCAAATGTAACAGGGGTATGTGCTCCTGTGCTCACAGATTATTTCCTAACCAATGAATCAGATTTTAGAGAAAAGAGAGAGAGTCTCTGGGCATAAAATGGATCAAGACTGCAGAGGGGCTGTGCTGCTGTAGAGTGGGCAGAGGGAATCAGTGGCCTGGTCCTGGCCCCAGGGCCCTCCTGTCTCCAGGCTTCCCTCACCTGAAGGATGGGGTAGCTCCAGGCGAAGTGCATGGCAAGACAGGGGGAAGTGGGATGAGAAGCCCAGCACCCACTGCTTCCCGGGGCTGGGTCAAGGGTTGGCCTTACTGGCCAGGAAGCGAGTGACCCCTTTACCCTTGCCTCCCACCCGCACTAGGGCACAATCCTCACTCACCACGCCATCCTCGGCAGGTGCGTTATCCCCGACCACCAGCATCACGGGGCAGCTGCAGGCACAGAGGAAGAGGGCCGTCTGGCCTGGGCACCGGAGCAAGGTGGGGGGCAGTGTGTGCGAGGGCCGGGCGGGCTGGAGGGGGAGGGCCACTCACCGGAGTGTCTTGGCGTTGGGCACTGTCCCAGGCCGGTTAATGTCCAGGTCTCTGCGGCTGCAGGGGGAGGCAGAGGAGGGCATCCCAGGACGGGATCCCAGGGCGGGGTGTTGGAGCGTGTCCCCGAGCCTGACCTGCTGTATTTCAGCCACACCCAGTCCCTCCACATGGCAATTACGGACCAACATCTCTCCAGGTGCCGGGCTGGTCCCAGACTCGGGGCTCAGGCTCTGGTGTCTCGACTGTGAGACAGAGCCTCATGGATGCCACTGGTGAAATGGGGAGTCAGGGACCTAAGGGCCTTAGGGACCCCGCATATGACTTCTTCCCAGACTCCCCAGCTCATGCCAGGTGGGCCCTCACATTCGGCTGTCATCACGGGCTGTGACCACCATTGTGCTGGGAGTCCTGGGCCTTAGGGGACCAACCCAAGGGGCTCCATGGAGCACTTCATCCCCTCTCCTCTCCACTTTGGGCTGGCTGTCAGCCCTGAGGCTCAGGGTGGTGGGGGCAGGGGTGGCGCCCACATCCCCCACTGCTCCTGCCAGCGATGCCAGGGGTGGAGGAGGAGCGGACAAGCCCTGCTTGCCCTCTGCCCCTCCAGGGGTGTGACCCTGGGCAAGAGGTCACCCCTGTCGGAGGCTCGACAGTCTGCTCTCCTGCCAGCCGGCCAGCGACCCACCTCCTCCCTCGGACGGCTGTATCAGGGGTCCCCCAGCGGTGTGAGCCCTCCCACCCTGGTGCTGCCAGCCGGCCCCCGCTGCCCACACCTGTTGTACATGTTCCAGAAGAGCTGCAGGTTGGCCTGATTCACCACGTTCGAGATCTGCTGCCGGTAGCTCTGCACCAACTCTGTGTTGCCCACCAGCTCCTCCTGGGTCCCGGGGGCGGGGCGGGGGGAAGGGGGCGGTGAGCGGCGGGCACGCAGGGGAGCCACAGACAGGGACGCCAGGGGCATCGCAGAGCAGCCCTTGCCCCACCCCCAGTGATGGTGGGGAGAGGAAGACAGCAAGACTGTCGTGGGAAGCCCATGACCTTCAGAGGAGAGGGGACCCCTCCCAGTCCTGGGTGCCGCAGTCTGCTGGCTGACCACAGGGCAGGGGTGGGGCAGCTCCGCTCAGATGCTACATCCACTGCCGCTTCCCGCCAACCCCCGCCCCCCCTCCCCCGCCCCAGCCAGGCTCTTCGGGAGGTTCCCAGCCCGGCCACCCCACTCCTGCATGAGGTCGTCCCGCACCCCCTTACCTGGCTGAAGAGGTGGGATAGCACCGTGTCGGGTAAAGTGCTGGTGAGGCCGGAGAGCTGCGGGCCGACGGAGGCTAGTGTGAGTGCCGCCTCGCACGACCCCCGGCCCCGCCCCCCTCCCGGCTCCGCCCCCGTCCAGGTGGACCGCGCTCACCTTGGTGGCCGCCCAGTCGATCCAGCCTTTGCCGTTGGGGTCGATGTTCATCAGCACCAGCCCCTCCACCAGGTCGGGGAAGATGAGCTGCCGTGACAGGGAAACAGGGCTTGAGGGGTGGGACGGGGTGCAGGGAGCCCCAATCTTTCCACCTAGAAAACGGACTGCAAAATTCCAACCCTGCCTGTCTCATGGGCGGTGGGGGGTGGTAAGGGTCTGAAGAGGAGGACCTGTTCTGTAAGGGCTTTCAAGGTGCAATCGATGACCAAGTGCCTTCAGCTGAGAACTTGCGCCCCTTCCAGCCCTGCTCATCCTCTTCTCCACCTGGAACTTTTCACAATCCTTTTATTTGAAATCTATGCCTTTATCACAGTTTTTCAGCTTTTAAATATATCTTTGAAGAGGTTCCCTCATAGCTCAGTTGGTAAAGAATCAGCCTGCAATGCAGGAGATGCCAATTTGATTCCTGGGTCGAGAAGATCCCCTGGAGAAGGGAAAGGCTACCCACTCCAGTATTCTGGCCTGGAGAATTCCATGGACTATATAGCCCATGGGGTCACAAAGAGTTAGACACGACTGAGCGACTTGCACTTGAAGAGGTTACTGTTGCAACACTGAGGACTGAACATGGTCAATAAAATATTCTGTTTCTTTGCTTTCATAGAAAAAGCCCTAGTGATATGAAGAAACTGAACTTTCCAAAGCCTGTTCTGTGTTATATATTGTAAAAGAGGTTGTAGTTTTCTGTTCGACTGCCTGCCCGTGTTTAGGAGAAAATGGTAATATATATATACTGCAGTCATGTCAAGGTTGTCTGGGGTGGCAGGGAATGACTGATAGTTAACAAGGTGGTTAAGTACTGCAGTCGAAACTAGAGCTGAAAATTCTTGGTCAGGTTTTTTGTTTTATTCTTTGTTTTGAAGAAATAAATACTTTGAGTCCTAAAAATTAAGGTTTTGTTTTTAGAGATGCAAAGCTTGTGGGTTTCTCCTGCCTGACATGATGTTTCTGAAATGTGATTTTTTAAACCTTGAAACTTAACATAAGTATAATTTTTGGTTAAAAAATGATTCATGTGTAAGTATTACTCTAATTAGTGAATGAGAAATTAAGATAACCCTTACTTAGTGGCTAGTTAGTTGTATAGCTTGTTGGTTTTGGATAATGGTTTAAGCAACTTATGGAGTACAGTGTTTTAAGGAAACGAATGAAAAAATTAAGTTTTTTCTTTTAAGCTAATTTCCTTGGAGGAAATAAAGAAAAAAGGACTTTCCTTAGTGAAGAGGAAGCAGAGAGAGGAGGAGAGGAAGAAAGAACACAGAAAGTTCCTGTGGGGTTGCCCCTGGGGGGACCAGTCCTGGGATTAGCTGGGGCTGGGGGTGGTGGTGGGCAGACTTACTGCAAACTTGGCCAGCACATAGGCTCCGGCTCCCACTCCGATGCCAATCACGTACTTGAACCTGACAGAGAGCATGCTGGTCACTCTAGGGGTTTCTTTTTCCATGATGGCCATCCAAAGCAGACCCAGCCGTAGCCCTGAGCCCTCAGCTCGGAGCTGCTGGCCCTGTGGCGGTGGTGGGCAGCTCCGGGGAGGGGGTGGGGGACTGGGCAGGGACTCACCCGAAGTGCTGCACCACACTGGGGAGCATGGCGGCCAGCTGCTCCATGGAGGGGAACTGGTACCTGCAGGTGCAGCGGGAGGTCAGGTTGGGGGCGGCTGAGGGCAGGGGGGCTGGAGAAAGCTGGGGGCGGGGCGCTCCCGGTACCTACCCCTGAGGAAACTGTGACGCCCCCACCTGCTGACCCGGGGCGTCCACGTGGCACACCACGAAGTGCTTGGTGATCTCCTGCATGTCCTCAAAATTGAAGAAGGTATTGAAGCACAGCTTGTCTGCAAAGACACAGCTCTCAGCTCTGGCTGAGCCAAGGGACCAGGGGAGCGGGGGGAAGGGAAGAGGATGGGCAGGCCAGTGAGGCCCGTGGATGCTGGGAGGGAGGTCGAGGCAGAGGTGATGATCAGCCTCGTGGTTCAGCGGGGAACCGAGACCCACGTGGCTAGAGGCATAGAGCTAAGCGTGAGTGGGGATCCATGGGGCCTTGTGGGGAGGGAGGGGGCCTCACTGTTCTGGCAGACCCAAGGCAGAGGAGGGCACACTCACGGTTGAGCCCCACGTCATGGTAGGTGAGGATAGCCGGGCGGTTCCCCTTGGGGGAGCCCCGGATCACCACGTGCAGAAGGCCGTAAGGCGTCTCGATGTCATGTTCCTGGAGGGGAGAGACCACACTGGACCCTCTGGGCAGCCCCCCACTCCTGGCTCTTCTGGGAAACAAGGCTGGGGAGCAGCCTGGGGGCTGCTGGGCCTGTGGTGGGACCTTCCCCCCACCATAGGGTGGGCATCCCCTTCTCATCAGCCCCAGCTGCCCCCAGAGAGGACAGACCAGAGGGCGCATCCCTCCCCACGGGTGTTCAGCACAGGGGCAACGTAAACTGGGCTGCTCATGAAGGTTCCAGTCTCCTCCGCAAACCAGCCCGTGGGGCAGCCCAGCCCGGCTGCACTCAGCCCTCCAGGGTCCAGTGAGGCCCATTTTCCCTCATCTCACTGCAGCCCCTCTGGGTCAGCTCTGCCATCCCCACCAAGTCCCGCCCTCATCATGTTCCCCCTGGACTCAGAACCCTGCAAAAGGGCCTCAGCCCACCTAGAATCCACGGTGAAGACCCCACACTGGCCAGCCCAGCCGCCAACCCCCACAGCTGTCCCTGTTTCCACCTCCAGGCTCTTGCCCCTGCCTCTCTGAGATTCCCAAGGCCTCCCGTGGGCAGAGCCGGGCTAGACAGCATCCCCTCCCCCAAAGGCCTTCTGCAGTGGCCGCTCTGGGCTCCTCCTGGGTCCACCCCTTGGGCTTGCTGCTCGAGGTCATTAGTCCTTCGGAAAGCAGGAGCTGGGGGCTGCAGGTCCAGGACCCCCTCTGCCCCTTACTGTGTGACTCTGAGCAGGACACACACCTCTCTGCTTCAACCACCTCTTTCTGAGCCATCTCATGGGGATGCAGGGAGAACGAGATGAGCTGATGCCTGGCCCTGGAAAGGGGGCTGCCATGGGTGGGCGCATCCCTGAGCCCTGCTGGCTGATCTTTCTGGGAATTGGTCCCTCTTGGCCACTCACGGGCAGACTCCCAGAGGGTCTATCAGTGCTGAATCAACAGCCCTGCCCTCCCAGGGAGAATCCTGGGGACTGCAGGAGGTAGGTGGTGCCTCCCAGGGAGTTGGAGTTCAGGCTGAGGTCAAGGAGAATCACCATGTGACTGAGCACCTACTGTGTGCCAGGTGTTATTCGAGACAGAAGGAGTGCTTTTCCCCACCTTTTACATGGAGGATGCTGCTGCTGCTGCTGCTAAGTCACTTCAGTCGTGTCCGACTCTGTGTGACTCCATAGATGGCAGCCCACCAGGCTACCCCATCCCTGGGATTCTCCAGGCAAGAATACTGGAGTGAGTTGCCATCTCCTCCTCCAACTGAAGGACGCTAGGACACTCATATTCAGAGAGAACCAAAGTTTCTGCCTCTGACAAGACAGGGGAGCCTTAGGTGACCAGCCTTCTTGGGTCTGGGCTCAGAGGATCACTGCCTGGGCCTGTCTCCAAAAGGGAAGGACTGGTGGTGTCAATCCTGGGGCCCAAGGCCACACCTGGGAGCCACGCTTCTGGGGGTCCACCGCAGCCTCTGCACGGCCCAGGCCTGTCCTTCCTCAGTAGCACTTCCTGCTCACTGACCACTGACCAGGCACTTTTCCTGTACTTTCTGTTTACTCACAGAAGAGGAAACTGAGGCTGGCCAAGAGGCACTGACTTGCCCAAGGTCAAGCTCAGAGACGGCAGGGTGGGCCTTGGGGATGCCTCTCTCAGGCTGCTATTTCTGAGGAAGAGATCCAGCTCCATCCAAGAGACTCCTGAGCAGAACACCTCCCCATAGCTGCCTGTCCCTGCTGGGGGGCCCTGCCGCGTGCCCCCCACCCTCCCATGCTCTCTTGGCTCTGGAGGGCGGGGGGAAGGGTGCATGGTGCCATGGAGGGGGCTGGGAGAAGGAGCTCGGTTCTATGAAGGGCAGGGAGCAGGGCAGGAAGGATGCCCGGTGCAATGGAGGATAGGGGCTGGGGCAGGAAAGACCCAGGCCGCTATGGAGGGTGTGATGGGGGCAGGAGAGGTGCAGAGTGCTATGAATGCTACGAGGTGGGGGTGGGGTGGGCAGAAGGAGCTCAGTTCCGTGAAGGGCAAGGAATGGGGGCAGGAAGGACGCATGGTGCTATGGAGAGTGGGGGCTGGGGCAGGAGAGGGCCCCCATGGAACTAGAGCTGCAATGCGCTGCCTGCGGCAGTGGGTCAGCTCTAGCCCTGCAGAGCACAAGTCAGGGCCAAGAAGGGGTCTTCCCAGCTCTCCACCGCCCCTAAGTGTGTGTGTATGTGAGGGGGTGCCTGCCCCTCCCAGTCTCGGTGCGATCGCCTGGGTTCCCATCCCCGCCCTCACCCACCCCCATCACCCCGGGGTGGCGAGACTCAGCGCGGCACTTGCCCGACTAAGGCTCAGCTCCCCAGGAACGGGAAGGGCTGGGGCTGGGCGCGCCGTCGTGGGCGCCGGCCCGGTTGCCCAGTGACCTTGGCTGAACCCTCCGCCGACCTCCCTGCACCCGCTCCGAACCAGAACTTCAGATCCAATTCATCCTGATAGAGGCCAGACGTCCCCAAGAGGGGCGTCCCAAGGGCCGCAGGCGGACGCACTCGGAGCCCCCCAACCCCCAGGGGCGAGGGCTCTCATTGGCTCCCGGTGACGTCAGAGCCCGTCCCCGCCTCCAGGTGGGCGCCAGCGCCAGGCACTGCGGCAGTCCGGGAGGGGGCTCTGATGTCCTGTCTGCCTGTCCCGCTCCCCTCATCCGTGACCTTGAGGGCTGGGGCGGGGGGTGGGGGGCCCTCCGACTCCGGCTTCAGGATGCGCATGTGTGGGGCTGGTTGGATTCTTCCCGTCAACCGCATCAATAATTCAGGGAACCGAGTCTGCAGCGGCGGGGAGGCGCTGACGTCGCTGCTTGGGTGCGGGTGCCAGGGGTGGCCCCATGGCTATTGGACCCCGCAGGGCAGGCCGGGGAGTAGAGGGGTGGGTCTTCCCCTGCCTGTCCTTCCTAGAGTTAGAACAGCACGGATCCGGGGCACCTGCTGCCCCAGGGAGGAATTGTCCTGTTTCCCCACGCTCACCCCGCCCCCGCCCCCGCCCCACTCCGCCCCTCCAGGTTCTTACACCGCTGGCTCATCGCCCCAGCGTTGCCCTCCTAGGCCCAGAAAAGAAAGCAGAGACCCCCTTCTCAGCTCCTCCCCTGCAGAGACCCCAGCCTGACGGCCCAGTTAACACCACACACAACGCAGACTTTGCTTCTGCCTGCAGTTACCCCAAACAACCATGACAACCCCCGCAGGGTCAGGAGGTCAGACAGCTGCAGGAACGGACCCCCCAGACGCCGCAGGGAACAGCTTCTGCAGAGTTGAAGGGTCACAGGCGCCAGGCAGAGCTGGGCACGTGCCATGCAGAGGGCACACCGTCAGTGGAATACACACACGCCCGCACACCCATCCACACGGACTGATCACAGCCCTTTTCGATTTCCGCAGAGATTTCAGTCTTCCCCATCCTCCCCCGCGGACCCACAGCATTTTCCTCGCAACCACGCAGCGGACCAGGGTCACCAGGAAGCCTGGGACCCGCTCATCTTGCCCAGTGCCCCCCAGGGTGCGCCAACTGAAGGCAGAAGCACCGCCGAACAGAGACAGAGCATGTCCCCGCCTCCCTGGTGACCTCGCGGCCCCCTGAATCCTCACTCACCCCATCCCAGCACTCCGGCATCTTGCCGAGGGAGGCCACCCGCCTCGACCAGAAAGGGCAAACAAAGGCCTGAGTCACCCGAGTCCAGAGGGAGGGGCCCCGCGCAGGTGGGAGACCAGCGGCGCTATGGTGGGGCCCCAGCTCGCGGGCCACTTATATGGGGAGCGGCCGGGCCTGGACTGGCCCCTCCTCCCTGCGGGGTTTGTGAGCAGCCACTCGCTCACCCGGAGCCCCTGCTCCCGGATTGGCTTTCAGGAGACAAAACTTGGCTCCGATTGGCTTCCAAGGTCCTCGCTCACGCCGGCTTCTGCTCCTCCCACCCCCAGCAACACATCAGTCGGGATGGTCCCCAGCTCCTGCAACCCACTCAGCCCCCCGCACCGAGGCTCAGAACCGCAGCTGCACACCGGGCCCCAGGAAGACGAGAGGCCACATGTACAGGTGCGCCCGGTGGCAGGTACAGATCAGCCTCACAGCAGAGCAGGCCAGGGTGCCCTAGACAGCACAGCCCTCGACCCATACCCTGGGAGCAGGGAGAGCCTGAGCGGCTCCCAAGCCCAGCCTCCAGATCAGGAAGGCCCGGATCCCTTCACCAGGAGAGGTGTGGGGAGTCACTGCTGCCTGCGGCATCCTGGGCTGTGACCCTACTCCAGGCGGCTGTTCCTCCTCCACCCCCAGGGTCTCCCCTTGGGCAGTCCCCACTCTGCCCACATGTACGCCCAGTGCCTGCCCACTGGGGAAGGGAAATGAGGGTTCTGGGGCCAGGGGGCCTGGAGAGATTTCGGGACCAGGGATGTGGCAGGTATACACCAGCTCTGTCCTCCCGTCACCCGCATCCTGCACCCAGGCCAGAGGCCCCCCCGGAGAGAGAGGAGGTGGAGTGGGGGTGGGACAGCTTGTCCACGTGGCCACACCCATCTCCCCATAGCCACACCAAGCCTGGGGCTTGGTTCTCCAGTCTCTGGGGAGCAGGACAGGTGCTGGGGGTTAGGTGGCTCAGGATGTGGGTGAGGAGCTGGTTGGAGACAGACAGGCAGAGTACTCAGATGAGAAAAGGGAGGCAAGGGAGAACAGAGGAGAAGAAATAGGCCAGGCAGGGGCACAGAGGAGGGAGCCCAAGGACTGAGAGCCGCAGGAGCCACAGAGAGGAGGCAGGGTGCGGGCGCCTGTGCCCCCATTCTGTCGCCTTGGTGAAGGAACCCGCCACTCGCCCCAGCTTGTAGGGACACCCGGCTGCATGCTGGCCGGCTGCCCTGGGGGAAGGCGGTCACCTCCCCGTCTCTGGGTGCCTGGTGACCTGGTCAGCACCCACCCTCTATGTTATTCCCGGCCACGTTCTCTGCCTGGGAGTGGGGGGGCCGGCATCAACAACTTCCCTGCCCCTTTCTGACCTCTCGCCATGTGGGCCTGGTGCAGAGTGCGGGGGCCTATGCGCTCCCAGGGCAGCCAGGGCCTGGAGTGGGCAGCCCCCAGCCCCTCACGTCCTGCCCACATTCCCGGTTCCCTGCAGCCACTTCAGCAAAGGAAGATGCTCTGGCGGTTGAGGCCGTGTGCCAAGGCACAGCCTGGTCCAGGGACCTGCCACAGGATCCTCCCGTCTGCTCCGGGAAGACGGGCAGGGTCGGGGACCTCCCACCCCTTCTGCCCCTCCACGGTCCCCATCCAACCTTATGCCCACCTGAACCTCTGAGTGGCCTTCTCCACCCTTGGACCTGGGTGACCTCGGATACTACCCACTGCAAGCCATGACCCCCTGATTCTGCTCAGCTCAATGGCTTCAAATCCCCAGACTTGAGTTGAAGTCTCAACTTTCCCACCCACTAGCTGGGTGACCTTGGACAAGATTTTTTCACTCCTCTGTGCCTTAGTTTCTTCAACCATCAAACAAGAATTGTGCCTTCCTCAACAGAGGTCCTAGGAGGATGATAAAAAGCTACATACATCACTACAGACCCGACCCCAGGCCTGCCCAGGGGAGAAATGGGGTGATCTGTGTGCTTCTCCGAACTGTGGGTCTTTTCCCAGGAGGTTATACAGTTGTTGGGGCTGAATGAGGCAGGCTCAGGTCCTGGTACCAAACCCTGCCAGTCTCTGCTGTGTGACCTCCGGTAAGTCAGTCAACTGCTCTGAGCCATCATATCTTAAATGGGAGAACAGCAGAGAAGTTGCTTGCATAAGTAGCTGCAAGGGTAATACATAATCTTCACAAGCCTATGTATGAGAAAGGATAAAGAATCTGAAGCACAGGGAAGTAAATTCTCCCACTCAGCGAGTAAGCAATGTAGCTTAGTGGCATCTCAGCACTCTGGTCTGAGGTCACATTATTATTACCTTTTTTTATTTTTTAAAATTTTTGGCCACAACCCGAGGCACATAGGACCTTAGTTCCCTGACCAGGGATTGAACCCGAGCCCCCTACACTGGAAAGCGGAATCTTACCCAATGGACCACCAGCAAAGTCCCATGAGGTCACATTATTAAGGGTTGTAAACGCTTAGTGCCTTAGCTCTCCAGCGTGCCAGACTCCCATCTAAGTGCTTTGCTATGTTACCTTATTTTGTCCTCTGAACATCCACCTTACAAACAAGGAAAATGACGGGCAGAGGGGTCCTGTAACCTGCCCAGCATCACACAGCCAGAGGGCACAGAGCTGCACGGAGGCAGTCTGCCTCTGGTGGCCACTAGTCAGTCAGCCCAGGGACGAGGGCACCGTCATCAAGCCTATAAACACCTGGGGTCTGAGCTGCCTCTACGAATGAGGTAGTGAGCTGTGCTGGTGGTCGCGTGGCAGGGTCACAACTTGGACCAGGTCCTTCTGCCTCCCCGACTAGCTGGGCCCCCTGAGGCCAGGGACTGAACAGGATAAAAGCCTATCCAGGCCTTGGCCCAGATAAGGACCATCCTGGTGGCCGCTTGACTTAACAAAAAGCAACCTGTGTGGAGTAACCAGAGCAGAGAGTAAGGTGCTTTTTAATACATGCTGCCCTTTACCAAGCAAAGATCTTGAGAACCAGGGTCTCACACACATAGGGTGACCCACCCTGGCCTGGGCCCGGTATATGGATGTGGAGGACCCCAGGATTCTGTCACCTTTCACCCCCAATCCACCTCCCAGGGTGTGTGTGTTTGGGGGGCTGGCAGCACTATTGGCATCCAGGGAGTCCCACTCAGGGTCAGGCAGCGGCTCGTTGCTCTGGATTTTATTTCAGTGGTCCCTCCCACGGAAGAGGGGCTGTGTGGCACACTCCGCAGCGCTCACTTGGAGCAGGGAGGACAGAGGGCACTCTGGCTGTCCTAGGCTACCTTGCGGGCACATCCGTCCCGTGCCTCTGGCTCCTGGGTCCCCACTCCCCCAGGTCCCATCCTGTCCTCCCCAGCAGCAGAGGCCTTTGTGATCGGAGCTGGAACTCCCAGGAGACGGGAGCATGTGCCCAGGCGCTGCTCTGACGCCTCCGCCGTGTCCTTGAAGGGGCACGTGACCCAGGGTCCAAAGCCTGGCTCAGATCCACATCCTCACATCCTCGCTGCAGAGCTGGTTTCCTGGGGGAGGAGCCTGCAGGCCGCTCCACCTCCCACGTCACCCCTGCGTCCAGACCACGAGGCCGAGGCTGTCATGGGGCTGGGAGACTGACCTAAATTGGATGGTGGCCCGAGGGCTAGCTCCCACCAGCCAGGACGAAGGTCACAGAAAGGTCTGACTTTGGTCAATGGGTTTTAATGGCCAGTGCGGGCCCTGGAACCCCATGAGGCTCCCATTGTGTCTGCTAGCATGCATTCTCTGACACTCGGAAATAAATGGCCACCTTGGGACTCACAGGGGAGAAATGGCGGGCCGAGTGAGAGAAATCAAAAATCATCACGCAGAGGAATAAACACAAAGACTGATCTCAGTTTTCCCAGGGAATCTGGCATCAAACTGAAGAGGACATGGTTGTCCCGGGCAACTGCTGCCATGGAAACGAGAGCTATTTGGAGCATCAACCTGGCTTTCATAGGAGGAAAGTGCTGATTCAGATGGCAGCATCCTCACTCCCCCAGACCTCCCCTCCTTCCCCTGTCCTGTTCAGGGAGGGAGGGGGCATTTCTCCATGGGGCAGGGGGCCAGGCAAAGCTGCTGTGAGCAGTAGGGGTGGTTCTGAAGGCTGCCAGGCACCCAGTTCCCGCGGCTTCAGGCTGGGGGCGCTCAGAAGGGCTGTGACCCTCGTCTGAAACAGGCTGGGTCAGGGAGGGGCCAGCCAGCAGTCGGTCCCCCATTTGGGGAAGCTGAGTGGGGACCTACCTTCCAGTCTGTGTCCACAGCCAAGAGGAAGGAGTCAGAGTTCTCCTACAGGAAGGCAAACAGAGAAGGTGGCTGGTTAGGTCCCAGGCTGGCAGGGCAGGGATGGGTGGCCAGAAGGGGCTCTGCCTTGAGCAGTATCACTTGCTATTCCCATCTTTTTTTTTTTTGGCTGAGCCTTGCAGCATGCAGGATCTTAGTTCCTAGGCCAGGGATTGAACCTGCATCCCTTGCAGTAGAGTGTAGAGTCTTAACCACTGAACCGCCAGGGAAGTCCCTCCCTAGTCTATCTTAACATGAACAAAAGTGACCCAGGGCTTTCCATGCACCAGGTATCAAGCCATTAAGTATGTGACAGATGAGGCTACGAGCAGCTACACACATGGGTTTTTACCTCCTAGTTTCTTTTTTTTTTTTAACCTATTAATTTAAAATGTGAAGATTTCCACCTTGTAGGTGAGAAGGCTGAGGCTCAGAGAGGCTGAGTCACATGGTGAGAAAGTGATGGAACAATCTCTGACCCCAAATTCTTGCTGTTCATTACTCTGCCCATTGGCCCCTCCGATGGTTTTCAAGGTCGACCATCTGGGCACGAGCTCAGAAGCCGGAGGACAAGAACCTGACTGTCACAGCCACCGAGAGGATGGGGAAGCTGAGCCCCACACCCTGAGGGGGAGGTGGGCTTTTCTGACCTGCACGAAGGTGCTGCCTGGGCCCGTGCCATAGCTGCCCCCACCTTTTCAGACCCGCCTCTCAAAGGTCGGCTTTTCGGCTCATTTCCGTTGATGATGTGCCCATCTGATTGGTACCCATCCTTCCCACTGGACTGTAGGCACCCAGAGGGTGTGGCCCACGTCCGGCTCGGCTCTCAGCATAAAGCCTGGCATGGACCAGGCTCCTCAAACACAAACAGACCTGGATGAACAAGTCTGACATCACAAGGAGGGGGGCAAGGTTTAGATATACCCACTGCTTAAAAGGTGGCGGAGATGGAGAGCGGAGGAGGGGGAGCCGGAACCCCCTGTGAGTTGCCAGGCTCTCCCTGATGCAGCCTGGAGGCCCCTGGACAATCTGCACCCTCTCTGGGGCTCTATCTGGGGAAGGAAACTTCATGGGGGCCGGGATCCCACATGTCCAGGAAGAGCAGAGATCTGGGGCCTCTATTCTGCCTTCTCTCATGTCTGTCTAGGACCCTCGCTGCTCCTCTCTGCTCGCTGTGGGCAGGCGGCTTAGCCTCCGAGCCTCGGTGCCCTGAGGCTTAGCCGAGGGCATGGGGAGCAGTTCTCCTGTCCTGGCACCCCTGCTCTGGGCTCTCTGTGCTGCAGAGGCTGCTGGGTAACCATGTGGACAAAGGAGACGATCAGACTAGAACCAGGACGTCGTGGGAGGACAGCAAGCTCGGGCAGGGCTACCAAGTGCAACAAGAAGGAAAAGGAACCCACAGCACAGGAATGGGGGGTTAAGAATGAAAACCAGTGGTGCTGATGTTTTTCTCTCAAAACGAGAAGTTCATCCATCTACATTCTGGCAGCTGGAGCGGGAGGCGTGGCAGAGAGAATCAGACAGGACTAGAGGCTCTCACACCAAAAAAGGAGACCAAGAGGCTGTAACCTGTCTCAGGTGACATCAACAGTGGCCATCCTTCCCCTCCTGGTTCCCCCAGGGCCTGCGAGCTTTCTCTGCCTGGGGAGGTGAGGAGAACATGGAGGCAGCCACTCCTGGACCCTCCAAGGAAGGGGGCGGGGCCCTGGGGGAAAGGGATGAGCCTGGATATTCACAAATTTTGTCACCAGAAGACCTGGCCCAAGGCGGGAGGGCAGGGAAAGAGATGCACGCAGGAGATTTTCAAGGGGAGGGGCAGGACCCCAAACCAAGAAACAGCAGGAATAACACCAGCCAATCTGGAGATGTCGGAGGCTGGGAGGAACCACATGAACATTTCGAGGAAGACAGGTGGGAGAGAGGGCCCAGATCGGGGGAGGTGAGGAGCCCCAGGAGCAGCCTAAGGAGACCCAAGTGGGGGATGCAGGTAAGGAGCCCCGGACACAGCAGGCAAGACTTCAGAGTCTCAAATGGTGGAGGGATGGTGGGTGATCACATGGAAGCATTCACTCCTCAGTAGACCCAGGGAATTTACACTTGGCAGGTGGCGGAAGATTTTAAAAAGTGCAAAAGGAGAGGCGACAAGTACTGTCGTCCGAGTAGCTGGATAAGGGGACTCTGTGGTTGTAACCGCCTGGGAAAGAGGCCAAGAGCGAGGCAGGCAGGACTGCACCAGTTGTCACTGAAAGCTGGAAGGCCACGCTGGGAGCACAGAGGAAGATCTGGGGGGCGGGGGCTGAGGCCATTCTTATGCCCTGAAACAAGCAGCTGTGACCGGCGACCAGGTCCACTGCAGAAAGCGGGGAAACCGAGCTGGGGGTTCGCAGCCTCGGAGGAGAACAGAGACGTGGGCCCTCATGGGGGGGTGTTGGGTAGAGGCATATTCAGGTCCAGGTGGGATGACGGGAGACACCAAGGGCAGCAGGAAGAAGGCAGGGCCCGGGGGCTGCTCAGAGGGCCTTGGGAAGGGAGGGGCAGCCAGGTGCTGGGCCAGGCCGGGCAGAGAAGGGGTGTGGGGCATCTCCTGCGGTGTCCTGCCAAGGCGAGGAGTGGGAGGGACGCATAGAACATGTGAGGCCATGGTGCCCTCATCTCTCCACACCGCCCACAGCTGCACACCCTGTGTCAGCAGGGAGCCCCCCCGCCCCTGAGCCCTGGTGATGGGTGCAGGGGTCCCTGAGAGCCACCGTAGTGCCCTCACAAGAAAGTCTCTGCCTGCATGCCTCGAAAGACAGGCTGTTTGTGGGCAGGAGGAACTTTACAGAGTTCTGAAAAACTTCTTTCTTCTGTGCTGCATCACAGTCTACAGCTTCCACCAGGCCTAAGTCTTTTTACTGAGCGCCTATGGGATACCAGGCGCTGTGCTGGGAACTGGGGGGATCGGGGAACAAAACAGACAGGGTCTCTGCCCCAGGAGCCTGCAGGGCAGGGCCTGAGAGTGGCGAGTGCTAGGGCCAGGCCTGGAGGGTGTGCAGGGGGGTCAGTATTAGACCCTGAGGTCGGAGAAGGCCTTTCTAAGGAGGGGGCATGTTGAGCAGAGCCCAAATAAAATGAAGGGCCAGCTCTGCAAATTCTGCGGCCAGAATATCCCAGGCAGAGGGAACAGCTGGGAAGATGATCAGCGGGGTCAGGGAAGAACAGTGAGCCTGAAAGACAGGAGAGGAGTGGGGTGGGGGGAGGTTGGGGTTGGTACAGAGCACACGCTGGAACCAGGGAAGGAGTGTGGCTGTAACTCTGAGAGCAACGGCAGCCGCTGGGCAACAATGCGGAAAGTGACAGGGTATGTCTTATTTATTTTTTGGTGTATGCAAAAAAGGATAAATTTACCCGAGTCCCTCACCAAAGCCAAGAACAATAGTTAAAAACAGGCCTTGGGAGGGATGGTGGCCAGTAATAGAAATCAAATCTTGTCGGCCTAAGCAAAAAGGGAAATTTATAATTAGGATTCAAGGGTGACTTACCAAGCCCAAGGGCAGGACTCACGAAGGGCTGGAACAAGGGAACGGAGCATATTAGAATGCCAGGAAGGACATGATGGACTTTAAAAGGTGAGACAGAGTAAGGAGACCAGTGGGGCAGCTTCTCCAAGCAGAAAGAAGGGGTGTGGGGGCATCTCTTGGGGTGCCCTGCCAAGGGAAGGGGTGGAAGAGACCGTGTGAGGTCAAGGCGCCCTCAGCTCCCTGTGCCACACGCAGAGGCACATCCTGTACCGGCGGGGGGCTCCCGGGGGAGCCGATGGGGGCTTGGAGCAGGGAGGGAGTAGAATTGGAGTCAAGAGTGTCCAGGAGAGGGTGGGATGCGTGGAGACAGGAACACGGAAACATACATTACCGTACGTAAAATAGATGACTGTACTCAGTCGCCCAATCGTGTCCGACTCTTTGCGACCCCATGGACTGTAGCCCACCAGACTCCTCTGTCCATGGGGTTCTCCAGGCAAGAATACTGGAGAGGTTTGCCATGTCCTCCTCCAGGGGATCTTCCCGACCCAGGGATCGAACCCAGGTCTCCTGCATTGTGGGCAGATTCTTTACCGTCTGAGCCACCAGAGGAGCCCATGTCAAATAGATAGCCAATGGGAATTTGCTGCATGACTCAGCTAACTCAAACCAGGGCTCTGGGATGGGGAGGGAGGTGGGTGGAAGTTTCAAGAGGGAGGGGCATACGTATACCTATGGCTGATTCATGTTGATGTTTGGCAGAAACCAACACAATATTGTAAAGCAATTATCCTTCAATTAAAAATAAAACTAATTTTAAAAAAGTCTACAGTGTCCAGCTCACCAGTGTTTCCTGACCATTGCTGGGGGCTGCCCTCAGGTAATCAGGCCGTATAAGTTAACTCAAGGTTCTGTCTTAGCGATGGGGTGGGGGAGGCAGGAGGGCTTCCCAGGTGGCACTAGTGTAAAGAATCCGCCTGCCAATGCAGGAGACGCAAGAGATGCAAGTTCGATGCCTGGGTCAGGAAGATCCCGTGGAGCAGGAAATGGCAACCCACTCCAGTATTCTTGCTTGGGAAATCCCCAGGACAGAAGCACCTGGAGGGCTCCAGTCCATAGAGTTAGACACGACTGAGCGACTGAGCGTGCACGCAGGCATGGGGGGAGGGAGCGAGAATCAAGAGGGAGGGAGGGAGGGAATACATGTATATTTCTGGCCCATTCATGTTGTATGGCAGAAACCAACCCAACATTATAAAGCAATTACCCTCCAATTAAACAAAAAAAAATTTTTTTTTAAACAAAATTTTTTAAATGTACCCTTCTCTGGGGCAGGACTGCCAGCCTCATGAAGCTGGCCCCCTGAGGCCTGCACATCCACTCTGTCCCCACATGCGGTGCTCAGCGGCTCTGGGGCTCACCTCCTTCTGGAGGGAGGCCGCGGGAGGTAGGGGCAGGGCAGAAAGGGGGTGTGCTAAGCACCCAGGGGCTGGGCTCCCGGCTTCTCCATCTAAAGTGAGCAGGCCTGGCAGCATAGCCAGCAGACACTTGTGGCTGTGATGCCCCAGAACTCCACGAGCAGTGGACCCCCAGTTTTTCCTTGCAGGGAGGGAAAGGGAAGTCATGAGGGACGGGACCACAACAAGGGAGTGTGGGCAAAATTAATTCTGGAATCTGATGTCTGGGGTCCTGATGAGGGCCCTTTCGGGTAAAATAACAACAACCTCCAATGCCTTGGTCCCGCTGCTCCTGGCAGCGCTGCTGATAACACCTGCCGGCTTATCTCAGAGGCTTGTGAGGAAGAAAGAGAAGCTGCAGGCCTGAAAGGGTTGAGTGAGTGGGGAAGCGCGGTTCCGCTGCTGGAGGCAGCACTGGCCAGTGGGGACCCTGTTGGGGTCCAAAGGCCGCCCAGAACCAGGGGTTGAATACAGCCTCATTCCCTGATAGCTGTGTGACCCTGGCCAAGTGAGTCAACCTTTCTGCGCCTCAGTTCTGTCATCACTGAAATGCGAATAACTCTTCTCAAGAGCCTCCCTACCTCAAAGACAGCCAAAGCCCCAGCGAGGCTGGCTGGGTGTTAGTTGCGTGGGCGCTCAGCCCGGGTGGAACAATCCCCCGGCAGGGACAAGGCTTCCCAGGGTGGCCTGAGGATGCCTGGCGCGTGGCTCGCGTCGCGGTTCGGAGGGTCAGCTCCTTGCCATCAGCCAGACTAGAAAGATGGACGGTCAGCTGCTTGCCATCAGTCAGACCAGAGAAAAGACGCGCAGTTTCCTTTGTAGCCACGAGGTGGCGCCCTCCACCCCAGGACCGCGAAGGGGCGACTACTCACCAGCTCCGCGGCGTCCTGGCCCCGGAGCAGGGGCTTCTCCTCGGGGAATCGCAGCTCCTGCAGGCCGGCCATGGTCACGTCGTGGAGCAGGAGCCCTGGGAAGGGAGGGCGAGGACGGGGGGTTAGGGCCTGGTGCGGCGGGGACGTCTCAGCCGGCGGAGAGGACAGCGCCAGCCCGCACGGGGACAGGGGCACCACCCGGCCGCTCCGCTCCATCCCCGGATCGCGGTCCCCAAGAGCAGGCCCAGCTCAGCGCTTCACCCGGGAGGCGAGACTCAGGGGAGGCCATTACATCATTTGTTCTTAAAAACATGTTCCCCCAAGCCCCCGAAAAAAGGAGGAAGGGGCAAAAAAGGAAGAAGGGGCGAAAAGGGAAGAAAGGAAGGGAGGAAGTTAAAGGAGAGAAGAAAAAGGAAAAGCAAAGCGACACAATATACGATGACCCTTGAAACAATTTCAAGTGAATTGCATTTATTAAGAAGCAGGGGGACACGTGTGGGGAAGCCAGACACAGGACGGGAAGCAGACAGAAGCCCCCTGTGGTCAGAAGTGGACAGTGGGGTCTGGAGGACACGGACGGAGCTGAGGGCTATCCTCAGTGCTTAGGACAAGCCTGGGGGAGGGGGGCTCTGAGAGGGGAGGGGGGCTGGCAGTGTGATCCTGAAAGAAGGGGTGCCGGACACACCACCAGCAGGGAGGGGTGACACCGTGACCCCTCAACCACAGCCACAGGCGGGGGGGCCCAGGCCTAAGGGCTGCAGGTTCTGGGGAGACTCTGGGCCTCTGAACCCCAGGAGAGGAAGGGTCATGTGTACACATGTGTGTGTCTGGAGGATCCAGTGTTGGGGGGAAGGCAGACAGAAAGGGTGCCAAGACCCCATAAGCCGTCTAGCCTGGCATCACCATTCTTCACTGGGACTTTAGGATGGCATAAATAGGAATGCACCAAGAGAAACACAGAATTACAATTAGCCAATAAATACAGGGGGAAATATTAAAGCTCACTAGACGTCCAAGATTTTTTTTTTTTTTTTTTTTGGCTAATGGAATTGGTACAGGTTTGTAGCACTGGCAAAGATGCACCAAAATGGGCACTTTTCTTATACTGCTTGTGAGTGTATAAATTGATAAGTCTTTCTGAAGGGCAGTTTTACAGAACTGAATTAAAATCATTTAAAAGGTCCTTACTCTTGGACTCAGCGGTCCTCTCCCTGGGAGAAATTTCCTTAGGAAAACCAGCATCTAATGATTTATCTCTAAGAAAGCTCACCCCAGTGCCATTGATAATAGAAAACAAAACCAAAAAAAACCAAAAAACTAAAAGAAGCCAAATGTCCACAAATAGGGCAGACAATAACTTGTAAGATTATTTAATAATGTGAAAAATGCTTGTGTTGTAATAGATTTTTTAAAAGAAGTTATAAAGCATACAGTATTATCCAAATTACGAGAAATATGAATAGTTTCACACACACACACAGAAGTCTGGAAGGCTTTTCATAAAGTTAACAGGTATTTGAGTGAAGGACAGAAAACTAGCTCCTACAGTCTGAAATCAGGGGGAAAAAAAACCCATTAAGAAAGACTATCTGAAGATCGTTAACAATTCTTTATTCTTGCAAAGCACTCCACAGCTCCCAAGGCACTTTCCTGTGTTGTTAGATTTCACCCTGATGGGAAATGCGATGAGATAACCAAAGCTCAGAGAAGATCCCCGGCACGCCCAGCCTGGGCCAGGCCTGGAAATGGAGTCTTTGGATTCCTCATCCAGCCCGGTGCTGGTTCTGTAACACTGTCTGTCTTGGAAGGACGGCTTCCTATTCTTTCCAGCCTCCCTCCCTCCCCTCTCTCCTTCCTTCCCAATTCTGTTATCAGTCTTTCTTAAAGGTGAAGCCCTCAGACTTACCCTTCTGCCCTGAAAGGATGACCATCCCACTAGCTGGTTGGTCAAGAAGATGCCCCCCATCCTTGCCCACCCCTGCTCCTGTGGCTTCTCCCTATAGAAGCCCTAGTGATGGGGGAATGGACACGGTGGTTGCTTGGGACCCAAGGACCTCGGCTGAAACCCATTTCCTGTGGGCAGTTCCGAGACCAGGTTGCAGCTCCAGATCTCCCCTGGGCTTCCTTCCATCCTATCAGAAGCAGGAAGCATTAGCCCTCAGAATGTTATCAAGATGGTGCCTTGCGATCGCGTGGTGGTCCTCACCTCAGTCTAGTCTGGGGTTGAGATATGCTGAGGCTGGGCTGGGAGCTGCTGGCCGCCCAGGCCTTCTGGAAGGTTAATCCAACAGTGTGCAGCCACCCCTGGCAGAGCCTGGTCCCCAGCATGAAGAGGCCAGGCAGGAAGGCCCCTGCTGGCCCGGGCACCCAGGTCCCCACACCTTGTGCCACCCTGGAGCTCTCTGTTCCCAGTGGTTTCCAGGGAAACCGGCTAACACAATGCACATGGGCTGTATTTTTAGAACGGCGTCCTCTCTCCCCTCCCCCACTTTCTCTTCCATCCTTTCTGATGTGTGCACATTCATCCCTCCATCCAGTGGGGAGCTGAAAGAAGGGCCCCCACCCTGGAAGTCTCTTCCCCATTAGGGCATTTTTAGCCTCCAGCCTCCCTGAATACCCGACTCAATTAAACGCCTTGGCAGGACTGGGATGTCCCCGCCCTCACCCAGGTCTGTTACGAAACCACCCTGGAGACCCATCCTCCCCAAGGACGGTGCTATTAAAAGGGCTGAGAGTGGGGAGTGCAGGGACAGATGGCCTGTGAGGGAGGGGGTGATGGGGAAGGGGGCTGCAAAGAGAAACCTCATACTCCAGAGAACCGGAGATGTCTCCGCCCCAGGAAAACAGGGACAGCCCAGGGCCCAGCAGGTGGTGGTGTGGGGCTCCAGAACAGAAGCCAGAGCAGGCATTCCCACAGGGTGGTGGCAGACAAGCTCCTTCCTAAGAGAGTTATGATGGGGCTTCCCTGGTGGCTCAGTGGTAAAAATCTGCCTGTCCATGCAGGAGACGTGGGTTCGATCCCTGATCCAGGAAGATCCCACAGGCCACAGAGTTGCTAAACCTGTGAGCCTCAGCTATTGAGCCTGTGCGAGAGAAGCCACCGCAATGAGAAGCCCACGCACTGCAACAGGAGGGTAGCCCCCGGCTTCTGCTTGCTCACAACCCCCGGCAGCAACGCAGACCCAGCATAGCCAAGAATAATTTAAACAAAGTTTTAAAAGGGAGCTAGATAAAGTTACAAGAAAATGAGATTCCTATCACATCAATACATGTATACCTTAAACTTATTATACAATGCTATATGTCAAGGGTATCTCAATAAAGCTGAAAAAAGCTTTCCAAAAAGAGAGTGCGATTCCTATCAAGTCCCACAAGGAAGCCTGAGTCAGGTCTGTACAGAGTCAGGGGGCACAGAGCAGGTGCGGTGGGAGGTCCCAGGGGGAGGGGGTCTTGGAGCAATAGCGATGGGCCTTTTCACTCCGTCTTTCCCCTCCTCTTAATCCCCAAGTCCCTGAAGGCAACACAGAGTGTTAGAAACAAATGGGCCTGGATGAATTCCAACCCTCAGCTTCTCAGCGGCTAGGCCCGGAGTTACTGGAATCTCTTCTGTATCGCTCACTGCCTAGCTTTATTTTGGGCAAGCCACTAAGAGGATTGCTTATCTACAAAATGGGAGTGGTAGCCTCCCTTTGCCCACCTCAGAAAGCTTAGAGGTACAACAAAGACAACAGATAGAAATGTGTTTTTGTAATTTATTTTTAGTATTTTTACTATATACCAAGTGTTCTTTCATTTTTTTAAACTTTTTTTTTTTTCTGTATCAGGGTATAGCCGATTAACAATGTTGTTAATGTTAATTAACAACATTAACAATGTTGTTAATGTTAATGTTCCCCTGATAGTTTCAGGGGAACAGCAAAGAGACCCAGCCATGCATACATGTGTATCCATCCTCTCCCAAACTCTCCTCCCATCCAGGAGAGTCTGAGCACATAACATTGATCAGAGTTCCCTGTGCTATACAGTGGGTCCTCGTTGGTTATCCATTTTAAATGTAGCAGTGTGTACATGTCCGTCCCAAACTCCCTATCCCTTCCCCACAGTCTTCCCCTCACCCCAGAACTATAAGTTCATTCTCTAAATCTGTGAGTCTGAGAAACGTGTTTTTAAAATAGAAGATTTCTATACCCATTTGGATGGGATAAAAATCACAGAGTTGATTGGGGTCCTCCTAAACTTCCTCTGCCTACTTGGAGGACTTTCTTTTTCTCTTGTCTCCTGTTTAAGGAAGGGTTCATACCTGCCGGCAGGGAGGCTCTGCTGATGTTTGCAATAAAGGGACAGGAAAGGGGTGAGGGAGAGAAAGCAAGGGCTCTTTGGCTGGGTGATGGAAAAGGGCCCTAGAGCAGAGTGAAGGTGGGTGAATTCTTTAAAAGGAATTGCATTTCTTTTCTATGACTTTTGGTTGCTGATTTTGTGCTTCTTTAAATGTGATTCTGTGCTGAGACTTGGGCCACGTGAACCCTCAGACTTAATGGGGTTAAAAATGTAAATGAGTACTATGATTTCATTCCTGAGGTGTGTAGTTGGTGCGCAGTCACTCAGTCATGTCCAGCTGTTTTCGACCCCGTGGACTGTAGCCCGCCAGGCTCCTCTGGCCATGGGATTTCCCAGGCAAGAATACTGGAGTGGTTTGCCATTTCCTTCTCCAGGGGGTCTCCCCGACTCAGGGATTGAACCCGTATCTCCTGCATTAGCTAGGTGAGTTCCTTATCACTGAGCCACCTGGGAAGCCCCAAACCTATTCAATAAATGCTTCAATTAAACTGATCAGTGGCAGCTCTGCATCCTATGGAATACAGCCATCGCTGAGTGGAAGCCCAGCTCAGTCAGTAGTAGGGGGCATCTGGAAATACATGCAGGGATTTGAGCTTGTCTCAGCAACCGGGGGTGCCCACAGTGGTTAGGAGGCAGTGCTGTGCAGTGAAGCATTGCTCCCCACCCCAAAACGACTTGAGCTGCCCCCTGAGAAACACAAGAGCTGAAGGAGAAGGAAGGCCAGACACAACTAGGGTGAAGTTAGCATACGCAGGTG